CACGGGGAGCTAAACAAGCCCCGACGTCTTTGCATACTTAGCGTGAGGGCTTGTTTTGCATTTCGACCCACCTGTGCGTGGATTTGCACCTGCATGCCATTATGCAGATTGCATTTGGGGTTGCGGAAAACAGAAAACGCGCTCGGATTTCGCTCGGCTGAGCGTTCGTGGTTACATACGTGGGAACGGCAAAGCTGGATTTTGCGGGGGTTCGCAAAGCAAAAATTAACAGGAAAATCGCGTCGAAAACCTAGTCTGTGCGGAGAAGGAAGGAATTTAGTTGGGAGAAGTGCAATTTAATTTTGTGAAAATATCATGTGCAATTACAAATTCTTCAATTAAAAAAAGTCTCTCATAACCGTGAATACATTCTACAAATTTATTTTTTAATAGCTTTATGTTCAACCAAATTTAATTAACAATTTTAAAACTTTTATTTTTAGTTCTTGATCAGACACAGTATAAACTGCGATTTTCTAACAAGATGAAAGGAACTGCATCGAAAGTATCTTTAATTATTTACAGTACGTTTGTAATGAAAATATACCCAATTTTTTTGTAAAATGGAATAAATATGAAAGTTGAAATTTTATATTCTCTACAAAATGGATAAAGTATAACTAAAATTTTAAAAAGAAGTAATAATAATATAAAAATAAGTAAATAAAAACAACCTTTTTTGTCTGTACAAATTTTCAATACAGAATGAATTTTGGAGCAAATTAATAATATCAAGAAAAAATTTTCAACAGTCATTATTTTTTTAAAATCACGAAAGATAGAAACAATTGACGAGATATTTATGAAACATTATTATTTTTTTTACTTATCTTACAAATTTTATTGAGTTGAAATTTATCGTCATAATTGTCATAAATCTTCTCTCAAAAGACACCAAAAAATATGTTTCCTAATTTAAAGGTTGTTTTGTCATCAGAGTAATTAAAATTGATTTTTTTAATTCTTCTACAGTTTCAAATTTTTTTAGCACAGCAGTACTTTATGAAATGAATTCATCCAGTCAATTGAAATCTTCTCGGAACAAAAAATGATATGGCACAGATAATGGCACAACTGTGTTATCGGAGTGCGTATCATGTTTCGGTAATTACCTCTCACAATTCAATTAGATTAATTACAGTCATACACACACGCGTCATTAACGGAATGTCTATTCAGGCCAACGCCCTCTGTATGTGGGTCTGGCGGTATTATTACATTATTATTAGCGACGCGTGGATACATACCTGTTATGCACTTTAACAAATTACTCGGCAGGCTGTTCTTGTCAAGCTCCTCGATCAACACGCGGGAAGAGTTACATTATGATGAGAGAACAACAAAGAGCATCTCTGGAGCTGCGATGCGACAAAGTGCACTCACGGAGATTGGCCGTTGAGGCGCAGGTTGAAAAATTTGCTCTCGGAAAACGAGAGCAATTCAATTTGATAAAAATTACCTTTGTGAATTGTGAGAGATCACTGAAGAAGAGAGTAATTTTTTAAGCTCAAGATGGAAAAGGAAAGAAATTTATGTGCACATTTCAGTTGTACAAAATTTATGAGCCACTTCAAATTGCTTGAAATAAGTTTTATTCATCGAAGACATGTTTTATTAATTCCTCTGTTAGTTTTATTTTAATCACCTATTATATTTGTCGTTCCATCAAAATGGCACAATGGGAATCTGCTCAGGGAGTATTTAGGAAGCTTCTGGTTGAATGTAAACCAAGATTTCCACGTAGCACTTCCACCAACAAGCTTTTAATTATCACTGGTTTAAGATTCAGATATCCCTCTTTTGGTTTTATCCTATGTTCTTTTGATTACTCTTCCATTTTTAATGGTTTGACAGTATGTTTAAATTGAAAATATATTTGTTCCAAATCCTTTTCGAAAACGCTGCTATATCCAGTTTGATGCCTCTCAATGCCTATCAATTTTAAGTTAATTTACAAATATTTAAAGTGAAATAAAAAGTTAGCCAGAATTTTTATGTATTTTGTATTTGTTATTAAATTTTCCACATCGTGCACTTTTAGCTCTTTCCCGTTTTTATTTTATCCCCGATATAATATATCGAGCGAGAGAGGGAAAAAGCAGGAAAAAAATGTATATTCCGGACGTGTGAGAGCAGCATGTAGTATTTTGGTCCAACTGATACATATGTCACGTGTAATGGCGAGAGAGCACACAGACAGTGCCAGCTGTCAGCGCCATTAGTGAGAGGGCCTGACCGGAATTTACAACGAGCCCACTGCGGTCCCAAGAGGCCCTCTTGTGCAAAATTGGTCGCGCCAAATTAAATTTATAAAAAGTTGAGGAGCACACACGTTGTGCCGGAAAGGGCGTCCCCGTGCGACCCTCTTTAAATTTTCATCGTCCCTTCCTCCCTGCGGCCCATTGTTTGCCAATAAAATGACGATTTCATAAAGCTCGGTGGAGGAAAACGCAGAGTTATTATTTTAAGATTGCCAGAGGAAACGAGTTTTTTGTAATTTTATGGTAGGAAAAATTGATACCGAATGTGTATTTTCTCTATTCTTTAGAGACGAAGAGATTATTTCATACTTTCCTTGTTGCAGAAGAATAAAAAATGTCGGTCAAAAGTCATAATGAACTATTACAAAAGTTTATCTGTATTAATGTTCTGATAAGATTTTAGTTTTTGTTGAATAATTAAATAAATAAAGAAGTAAAATAATATCTTTGAAGAAGTTGACACTCGAGGAGATGATCATGGAAATGAAGAGATCGGGCTTTTCCTCGTTGCAGAAAAATTGTTTTTATTCAAAAACAAATGGCTTCTTGTGTGAGCCATTTGTTTTTGAATAAAAACAATTTTTCTGCAACGAGGAAAAGCCCGATCTCTTCATTTCTAAAATAATATCTAAATGATATAAAAAAAAATTGAGTTTTTTTGCTGGTAAATGTAATTTTAATTAATTAAATACTAAATAATAATTTGTTAGCAGAAGAATGAAACGATTGATAATTTATCCATGGTATAATCAATTAATAATAAAAAATTTAATGGTGTTTCATTTTACATAGAAAAATTAATCGATTTTTGAGCAATTTTGATACCTCTAGCAAAGAAATTCCCTAAGTGCATATTTATCTGTATGAAAATATGTAGACGCCTGGTTGACAGGCTTTTAGAGAAATGAAGAGGAAGCAAGGCGAGTAAGTGCATATCGACATAAAAATAACAATATAATACATCAGAGAGTTGTGAATAATCTGAATAATATACGTTTTTATATGATTTAGAAATTATGAAGATTTAAAAGAAATTAATATATCTTATTTTGTAGTTCAATGTAGTTAGAAAATCGTCAATTTCTTTCTATAGAAAAACCTTTGGTTGATGTTTGTATTTGCAAGAATTTTGAATTATAAAATGATGTGTGTAATAATAGAAAAATTATACTTATGCAGGAAAGTCACTAAATACAACCCTAAGAGAAAAATAAAGTCTAAAAATTGTCAAGAAAAATATGAAAAAATCCTTTTAAAGAAAATATCGTTTACAGTCTCACATATTTTCAAAGAATGAATGGTTGTGTGAATTGAAAAAAAAATTAAAAATACTGGTGCTTTTATTAAAAAAATTAACTTCTTTCTAAAAAAAAAAAAATTTAAAAATAAAATTAGTAAATTATCTTTTTCTTAAGATACAAAGCATGCAATAAAATCTTTTTACTATTATTTGGTTAAAATACTGACATTTATTTTGTGCCCTCTCAGCAGCACAGAAGATACAACAATCTTGGCAAAAAGGAGGAAAAGGCATCTTTTGCGAGAGTTGATTCGCAGTTGGAAAAGCTGGCAAACGGAAAACTTGGCGCACTTAATGTCATTTGAGAGTCGCACACCTGACAAAAAGAGACGTCTCTGGCGACATCAAAAGAATATAAATATATTCCGGGGCAGCAGAAGACGTATAACGCAATCACAAACACAACTCACATCTCGCAGCAAAAGTAAGTTTGATGCGAAAATTTTCCGAGCTCGTCATGAAGAATTCATGCGGGTCGCTCCGGATAAGAAGATGCGCGCCGTTTACGTCTGCCATTCACGGCAGTTTTGCGTTTTGAACTTTGTGAATCGGTAATGCCATTTTTATTTAGACATTCAACATAATTGAATCGGCCGCTACAAGTCAAAAGCAGCGACTTCTCCCTCGCCAGAGCGACGCGCCAAATGCAATTTAAAAAGTGAGCCGCCCTCGCCGCTCGCTCGGCAAAGTTGGGAAATTTGTGCAAATTCGAGTTAAAAGTTTCGCTTGCTCCTTTTTCCCCATGCCCAGGCCACTTTATTTGCCGGGGATTTTCACTGCAAATTGTTGCCACCAACGTCTTTAATATTAATAAATTTCGTCCGTCCTCTGTGTGCCGCCGAGTAATACGGCACAAGTTATATTACTTTTTCAACCGTGTATATCATAGAAGAGCTCTAAACACTCAACTTTACTTTATTGGAACTACAACACTTTAAAAGATGCGTCTTTTTTATAATAATTTCTTTTTAAGTCGTCTCAACATAAATTTGAAGTGATTTGAATTTTCTTTTTTTTTATATGTGATCATCAGAATTATTTATGAAGTGTGAAAATAAGAAAATTGAATAACGCATTGAATTCAAAATTTCATTTGGATAAAAGTTCCAAATCATATAAATAATAAAAATATGAGCAAAAGAAATACCAAACAGAGTCTGATGTCATCTTTTATATGAATATACTGGAGAAAAAGGAGAAAAATATAAATAATTGTTGTTGTTTTTCTAGATTTTTAAGAATTTGGATGCTGTTTTAATTGTATTTTATATTTTAATCAATATCCTAAGCATTATATAAAAAAAATTATCTTAAGGCCTAGAATTATTTGCAACTAATATTTGACAATTTTGAAAAATTATCAGAAAAATCAAAACGCCCTTCAAATTTTTAATAATACGATTCTCTGATTTGTAAATAAATATTCTTATTTGTTCCAGGGATGCATTGAGGAAAGCTGGTCGGCTGGTCGGTCAGGGGTGGACCGGCTCTGGTGGCCTCAGTGCATTGTGGGGTGCTGCGTGCAAGTGTGCAAAATAACTGATAAGAGAGTGAGCGGCGCAGAGAGACCCGCTTAATGGCTTCGAGTTAATTCCTGCCTCCTCAGCAGATCCGGCTTCAGGAGCGTTCGAGCGAAAAGCAACTTGGACCGACTGGAGGTGAATTATTTGTCCGCATAGTCTCGTAGAGTTAGTTTATGGAGGAAGGTGAACTGTTGTCGAGAATGCATTTGCTACGTCTTACAATAATTACAATCAATAATTTCAAACCTCTTAAACATAGTTAAAAAATTTATAATTTCACATTTTTCCCGTTTCCATTTTTACAAACAAACAATAAATTAATTGAGTATCAATTGAACGTGAAAATTTTAACAAAAATAACCTTGATCATACTATAAAGTTTTTCTTTACTTAATTTTTTAAGGTTGAAAAAAGACACATTAAATTTTTACTTTTAAAACAATTGAAGAAAAAATATTTATATTCTTTGATATTTTTACAAATTTTTTTATAATCACAATAGCATGGATTTGAATGCTATAATATTATTTTCCATTCTAATGTTTGAGGGAATTTTGAGTTTCGACGATTCTATTTTTTGCATCCACTTTAATTCTGACGGCGCATTGTGAAATACACTTCTTCTCACTGGGAGGTCGGAAAAGGAAAAGAAACGGAATAAATTACACGGTACATCAAAAAGCAAGAGATAATTAAAACAAGGCGACAAGGGTCGGTCTGTGTGATTCGTGTAGTATGAATTCGCAGGTGCGCCTTCTTGAGCTCTCCACTCGCGTAATTAAATTGTGATAACGAAGCAAGTCATTAAAAAATAATGAGGCGCCTCAATGTGAAAATAATAATAATTCTATAGCGTCGTTTGCTCGAGAATAATGAAATGAATTTCGCCATTGACAGGCCTCTCGATGGATTTAATTCCGCACAACTTTTTTAATGAACGCGAAAAGACTGGGGATTTTATATTGGCGGCCGGCGAGGGCGGATTTTTGTATTGGGGCGCGCAGGCAAAAGTTTCGAGTGATTTTCGAGAGGTCTGCGCCGCGCTAATTTTCACCGTGGGCGCCTCTTAAACAAATGGTGGAGAATACCTGCGAGGCGAGGAAAATCGTTTTAAATGAGAGCGAGTAACGTGTGCCAAGTCCCTGAAAAGTGGAAGGTGGGCAACCGGCTTGACACTCTTGTTGACCAGGTTGCAGATTTAATAAAATAACACTAAAATGAAGTAAATTGGAATTTGTTCTATTAATTTTTTAGTTTGTTACATTAAATTTGCTTATCAAATCTATTAAATATTATTTTCAGTGATTTACAAATGAAATTAAAAATGCAATCGGAAAATATAAATAATTTTGAGACTTCAAATCTTCATCAATCGGGCGATTTTTAAATAAAACAATGCTTTTGAATCAGAAATGTTAAAATATAAGAATTAGATATTAAATTAATCATCTATTTTAGAGAGGTGATTAAGCATAATACAAAATGGTCAAAGTATTCATGGAGATAAAATAACTTTTATTATACAATAATCGTCGATTATTTTCATCATCTTTGGCATAAAGCAGATACAATTTATATATTTTAGTTGATACACAATAACCTCAAAATCAAAGCAATCTAATCAAGTTGAGCGGTGATTCTTCTTTTCAAATTATAAAACAGGTGGAAACAAGCTTGAAAATAAATTTGTGACATTTCTTAAGTTCTTCCTTACACCTGTAGTATATAATATTGTAATTGTTATTATAATTCTCTGTGGTCCTCTTTTCGTTAATCGCTCACGTTTTACAATTGCGTGTTTAATATAATATATTTGTAGTGTAAGGCGTCGTTCACACCAACAATCAATTTGCCAGAAGCTACACCTGATATTGACACCGACTCATGCTGCTTTGCTCGGAAAGCTATTTTATGGAAAATAGTGTTTATTATGATGACATTCTTTCGGACCAACCGGCAGTCGATTGAATTCATTTCCTAGAAGTGGAATAAAAATCGTAAGCCGGGATTGCACAATAAATCAAATTAATTTTCCCTTTCCCGGAACGCGTCGATTTTTTCCGCTTTTTCTCTTCTCTCTACGCATTGAAATCTGAAACAAAACCAACCGAACGCCGGCGGTGGCACAAACTTCGGGTTATACAACTGATGCGCGGAATAATTTATGGGCCTGTTTGGATACACAGGGAACAGACGTCGCTCTCTCACTGCTTTTTTTCTCTCCGTCACAGTCACAAAACAACCTCATTTCTGCCGACTCGACAAACAAACAAAAATACTGTGTATAATACACAAACGTATCACAACCCAAACAGCAGGAAAACAATCTGTGTTTGAAATATAAATATATATCGGGGTGGCAGTCGCACGAGGAATATCAAATGAGACTATATGGTGATTCCAATTTTCTGCGTCATTTGCATTCTGCCTTGCAAATTGCAAAAAGACACATGCTCAGAAGAAGATCAGTTTTAATTGATTATGGATTTTTTTTTTCAGAAAAATTTTTGTGCATATATTTAAAATAAACACCCAGATTCAAGCATTTTACAATTTTAAGTGGATATGAATTTCTTTCATGGTATTGGTGGTAATCAGAACATTTTAAAAGAATAGTGAAAATGGTGGAAATTTTCAGATTAAAAAAAAATTATTTCTTTCATTGGCTAAATTTTAGTCAGTGATTTATTTTCAAAGGAAATGGTTTTTCAGTTTATTTTCAAAGAGATCGATGGATAGGTCCTAAAATAAGAGATCAATCTTCACAAGTGTGAAGTTTTGAAAATTAAACAATTTTTTTATATTTGAATAATTATTTCAAAAATTATTAAAATTTGTTAATAATCATCTTAAAATAAGAAAATTATTTCAAAGTAAGTTAATTGAAAAGAAGAGCCTCAAAATTAGCTTTAGAAATATTAATTCCTTTAATTAAATGCAGTCTTAACTTAGGTTTAAATTTTTAAAATGTATATTATTTTTTGGAAAAATATAGAATTAATGAATTATAGGATTTGCTACCAAAAACCTCTATGTCCATGCAAAATATCTGAGTTTGATTTAAATTTCATTTACAGGTCACCATTTTATATTACAAACTTAACAGGGGGAATTCACGCTCAATTTTAGTCCAACTGATTTGAATAAAAAACCCTCCATTTGATTAACCTCTGTTAAAAATATAATATAAGAATTAGGTTCATATCCACTTAAATTCATGTAATTCAGCTCTCAATTTTTGGTATTTTTCACATTTGAATGGAAATGTCTCACCCCTTTGAACAGAAAATAGGAAAAAATTTATAATCAGACTATAAAAATCTCACAGCATTCTTTCCTACAACGAATTTCACTGATGTGTGTTTGGTTCTCGTTTTCACTGCTTTCACTACGCGTGCTTGAGCCTGGACAGGAGGCCGTACAGCTTCTGCAGGTTGGTCAGCGTGGTGTCGTCGTCCGGTTTGAGTCGCAGGGCCTCGAGGTAGGCGGCCTCGGCCTGCGCGTACTTGCCGTTCAGGTGCAGCATGGCGCCCAAGTTCATGTGGCTGCTCGCGTCCTGCAAGAAGAAAATTAACGTTCGTGAAAATAAATATATAAAAAAAGCAGGTCAGTAAAAAAAGTAATTATAAGTCTATAAAAAGAGCGGAATACGATCGGCGGCGGGTTAATTAACAGCCGCGCCCGACGGAGAATCTCTTTTATTGGTATAATTTGGCGCAAAAATCGCCCGGCCGTATTTTTAACACCCTCGTCGGCCGCACGAGAGCCCGACTCGTGTCTTTATGGCGTCATTAAATAAATTCAATTACTCCATTTGCGATGGCCGAGCCGCAAATAATAAAATTTGCAGCCGACGCATTACTGCACATCTGCAGCGGCGCGACCCTTCTTTTTCCTTCCTTTGTGCAGTGGGAATGGAAATTGCCTGGAGAGAGCCTTTGATAAAGAGGGGAAAAATGGAGCGACCCGTGGACACACCAGAGCAGTGCATTCAAGCTCGTTGCGTTGATAATGAAACTGCAAGTGAATTCTGTCAGTTTATTGCCCTTAGCGCCGGATGGCGTGATTAATAATAATTTTTTCTTTGAAACTACTATTTTTAGTTAAATATAGATTAATTAAAAAGAAAAGTATAATAATTGTTAAATATGCTTAAATTAGTTAAAATACTATTAATTATAAAAATGTGAAACAAATAATGACAATAATTGTAATATGCGTTAGTTATTAACACTAATTTATCTTTTTAGCAAGAGGAGAATTTATTTGAAATGAAATAAATATTTTTATTTTCAAATTTATAAATAATTTAAATAATTGGGTTTATGTATATTATTTTGATTTTAGTTCTTTGGTAATAAGTAGGTTAAAAAAGTCACCCATCTTTAGTTTAAAAATAAAAATATAAATTCTGCTTCTCATTTCATTGGGACTTTGAAGATTAGACACAGCCATGAAAATATTTTGAAGAGATAAGCTGAATCAACTAATTTTAATTTCTAATCTCGAAAAATGAAATTAAAGAAATATTTCTATTTTTTTTTTGTGTGTACCAGTACGTGATTTTCATTCTAAAGATAATTTCAAGCTTTGCTCTTCTTTATTTATACAAAATGGGAAAGAGTTGCAGAAGTAAAACGTTTGCAACTCCGCGCTCATTAAAAAGTTGGAAGGAAATATCGCGTCGGATTCCTCGCAGGCAAACTTTTGCGATTACACATAAGTAGATGTAAAAGAGTCTCTTGATTGCGAGAAAGTTGCACACATTCGATTTATATATACAAATCCGATTCCGACCAGCACGTTCTGCCGGAAAAGTTTGCCCTCGGTGGCGTCACGTGGCTCAAAAGTGCATAGACCGAGTTGGTTGTTGCCACCAGTGCACTTTAATATTATGCAACGCCAGACCAAACTTGTTGACACGAACGGGGAAAGAAAGAGAAGCGAGAGACCGCGTTATATATTTTAGTGAGAACCAAAAGCGCGGCGGGTTGCCGACAACAGCTGCCGCCGGCAAAATTCATTATCTTGTCTCGGAATTTTGCTCCCGCGCAGCAAAACTTTTTGTTCCAACATGACGCAAATTTGAAATTGCATGGAGGGGCAACAAGTTAACCTCGGTTGAAATTATGCGGAAATATGAAATTTTAGCGAAAATTTAATTTAAGTGCACTACATACATGTACAATCATAAAAATTTTTGTTGTTCCTTTTATCTTAAGGAAAATACATAATTTTCAGGTTCAAAATTCATTTAAAATCCTATTTATAACAAAACTTGTCAAATTCATTGTTAGTTTTATTTTAGTTTGGTCAAATATATTTAAAATAATAATATAAGCATTTCAAAAAACATAAAAACAAGTCTTTCCTTCAGTTAATTGTCATTAATTATGGAATTTTTATGAATTTAAATGTCACAACAACAGTTTTTTCGCTATATTTTTTTTATGCTCATCTTTCCATTGAAATTTGAAAATTTAGTTAGTGTAAAATATAATTATCATAATTATTAATATCAATCTTTATTTAATATGAATTATAAACCACTTCATCTACAATACTACATACTCAAAGAAGTGTTGGTATCAGCTGATTTTTAAGATAAAGAATGTGAATCTTGTATTTTTATAAATTTCTAAATTTGTAGTTTTATTTTCTTTCCAATATTCGATTGATTTTGACTGAAGAAACAACATATTTATTTTATAATGCTAACTACACAAATTTGTAATTTAATCATTTAAAACAGATTAAAAGCATTAAATTTTAAATGATTGATCACAAGAAATTTAAAATTATGTTATATTTTATATAATATTTAATTTTTCGGTAAGCTAAAACCTAAATGTTGATATTACCAACTTTAAAAATATCTTTTGACTGTTCTTTTCTCCTTTTTTATTGTCATTCTGAGCTTTGCATATATTATCTACTGTAAATTTTATTTTTCATTGCAGGAATTTAATACAAATATTTTGTAATAAAATATATTATGTATTAGTCACTTTGCCCTAGTTGAGATTGTAATTGAAAATAATTTTCAGTGTTAAAACTAAGGTTAGCATCATAACAATGAAACATAATTTGATTATTGTTTTACCTTCCTTACTGGATACTAGATAATGCTTGCCAATCAAAACGGCAACAATCTGAATTTGCTCCGATTGTTGTGATGCGCGATTTTGGTATACAAAAGAAATTTATGCAGCTTGCAATGCAAGTAAAATGCGTTGTAAATTCCTATGGAGAACTTTTAAATTTGTAAACAATAGATGTAAATAAATGATTCATTTTAATTATTTGCAGAAATCGATCAGGACCTGCTTGGCAAATAAATCCACAACAATTCATGCGAATCGGAATCTAAATTTGGGATTTGAAGGGATCGGTGCGGACAGGCGGGCGCGGCGGTGATAATTTATTGACGCCGACAGAGGCCGAGGGCGCAATGTTGATTCAGGTTAATAGGCATTACTATTTAATGCTATTCCCAGATGATGTAGACTGTCAGTCTGCAATGCAGGGGTCCGCAATTTATGGCCAAGTGGGCAACCTTGCGGTCGTGCTCCGCAAGCCCTGCTACTAATGCACGCTCGCTCGCTCTGGACGCATTAAAATTACAACTAATCGCAAACGACGAGAGCCACCACACGAATTAGTCCCGACGTGGCCTGCCGAAAAGTGATTTTTCGTTCGTCCATCCACACGATCCACGTCTCGCCGCCATCAAATATTGACGACGGCCTGCTTTTAAAAGGGTGGCGAGTTTTGCGGCGGAAGTGCTGGTGCGCGGATTGCATACGTTCACAGCAACCCCTCGCTATATGTGGATAATAAAAAATTCCGATAGGAAATAAAGATCATACACTGGAAACGCCTTTTTTTTATCTTGAGATGTTTATTAAAATAATTTTTTACTCTAAAAAAGTATATATTTTCCACCAAAATATTAAATAATTAAAAAAATTTGGACTTTTTTTTCAATGTAGCAATCGTAGCAATTATCTGATTACAATTGGATTGAAAATACAGTTGCTATTAACAAAATTGTCTTCAACTCTATTCGGTACCGCTGAGAAAATTTCACAATCCTGAAGCGAGAAATCTTGGCTTTTATTTTGCAGTTTTCATTTTAGCTCGTTTTCCTTTTCAGTTCGTCAGTTTAGAATTTTGAAGAAAAAAACTAAACTGGCCTCTCAAAATTTTACAGATTTTTAAGCCAAACATCCTACCCATACACCATACAGCGCTTTTGATTCGATTTAACAGAAATATGATGTTTAATAGTTCCGAACGTAGCAAAAATTAAAAAAAAAATCGCTACAAACACGCAATATTAATTTAAAACAAATTCTCAAATCACGCATGCTTTTTTAACAATTTAGCTTTCTCAACACATTTAAGAACAGTGCTATTAAATAATTAAATGCCGCTCTAATACAAAATTTAGTCCTACTAATGAAAATTTAAATATCTGTAACTGCGCTTCTGTTATTCATAAATAATATAAGGAATTCACATGAATAAATTAAACTGTTAACAAAATGCACTGTAAAAAAATCAAACGAACTTATTTAATAATTCTAAGCGCTCAACTTGTTTATGTTTTTGAAGTTTAAAATTGTTAGTTTGTTAATGTGTAATGTTTATTTTAGTTATTACAACTTAATGCAAATTTTACATAATATTAAAATAAATTTTAACTAAATTTATTATTATATAATTTTTATATTTTTAAATATCATTTTTCTAAATAGAACTTACTAATTTAACTGAAATATTTAATTTTACTGAATTTACTGTAATACGTAATACATTTTTATTATATAAACAAAATACAACAAATTCATTGCGGTTTACCTTTTTAATTGTAAGTGTTAAATCTAAACTTAATCATTTCTGCTAAGAATGCGTCCAGTATTGTAGTCAAAAATTTCATACGACTAAATTCATATCAATATTAAGAATTAAAAGAAATTTAAAAATAATTTGATACAAGGTACATAACATATTAAAAAGTAGAATTAAAAAAAAAAGAAAAATGCAGAGAACATCACGCTAGGTTGCTAATCCGAGAATGTTCTGGGTGGATGTGGCGAACGTGCTGCTAATTCGCCTGAAAAGCGCTTCGGCACAAAACGTGCGTCTCCCTGCTCTCATTATTCGCGCGTCACAAAAGCGGCGCTGCTTTTAAAACGCAACAGCAAATAATGGAATCCAGCTGGAGACAATTCATCTTACTCATTCGAAAAACCTCCTCTCCATTGAATTAAAATGCGCAAAAAGCCTCGGCGAACAAATCCTTTGTGCGCGCCGAGCACAATATAGAAAATGGGGTTTCGCAGAATCCGCGAAACAGCAGCTCCGGCGGCAGTTTGATTATTTTGCCAGATTTTGCGGAAATGAGGCCGCGTCCTTTGTTTGCCCAGAGAAGAAAATCCCTGGAGAGAAAGGAAGCCGTTCGTCATTGTAAAAATTCACGACAGTATGACGGGCTGGATTTGTCGATCGAATCGACCCCCCTGATTTATTTGATATTATTTTATACACTCC